GGAACAGGCTGCCCAGGGAAGTGGTTGAGTCCCCATCCCTGGAGGTATTTAAAAGATGTGTAGATGTGGTGCTTAGGGCCATGGTTTAGTGGTGGACTTGGCAGTGCTGGGTTAACGGTTGGACTTGATGATCATAAAGGTCTTTTCCAACCTTAATGATTCTATGATTCTAATTTTATAAATGCAAGGCATTAAGATGAAGTTTAAATGGGTTCATCAGTATGTGTTAGTGAATTCGATCACTTGAAGTGTAGTTCCCTCAATAGAGATTGTTATCAATTTTGTGTCTTCTTAATTAGTCTAGTTGATGCATTTTCATACATGGAGCTGCATCTCTTCAGGTTCATAATGAAATTTTACTACTTTTTGCATCTGTCACTCTGGAGAAAATCAATGCAGCTGTCACCTTTCTGGATTCTGCACTGACTTGTGTATGAACATTGCTATTTGCTAGACAGATACCGAAGTAAAGATGCTGGCATTAGTCTTGGGAATCTGAGTTCAGACTTTTATTATTATTGCTGTCCTGAAGCTGTTTCACAAGACAGTTCTCAGCCTGATTTGACCCAGGTTCCAAAACAGACTTGTAATTCCCTTTCTCTGCAATTCTGTGTGTTGGATCAAGGCTGTAATATTATTTGCAGTTCTACAGTTCAAAAACATCCATGTTTGTTGAACTATTCTGTAAATTTAGAAATCATACCAACTTTTATTGCTATTTGAATTAGACTGTTTATTTATCAGATATTGGAAAAATACAAATTTTCCGCTTTGCTTTTTGAACTTTATATATCCAATTTTGTATAAGCTGAATTTTAAATTTAATTATGTAGTAGGTAATTGAAGAATGCTAAACTTAATTTAGCTTATTTTAATGTCCCTTTGTCGTGGTTTAACCCCAGCCGGCAACCAAGCACCACACAGCCGCTCGCTTATACCCATAATTGTACATATCTTTTGTTAGTCTGTCCCCTTTCCTCTTAAAAAGGAGGGGAGACTAGCGTTTATCACACTAGCTAAGGCTGTCTAATTGTTTTCCTCTGTCTCAGCTGTCTATAGTTATGTCCTAACCTGATATTATAAACTTTTCAGATTCAGAAGATTGTTCTTGTTCTCTCCCTGCCCAGCAAATTGGAGTCTTGGCGAGGACTCTTTTGTA